GTGGAAAATTTACCTGATATTCATTCGTTTCGTCTTTGGCATGACGCGACTTCGGCATTGGCACATTTTTTAACACATCACAGTCTTTCCGTTGGTGAGTTCATCGCGCAAGGAAATACGATGACAGATCAGTAATACGTATTATTACGTGATTAGCTGGCATTTCACCAAAGCGGTTGTGAACAGGCAAACAACTCGATACGTATACCCGCTTACTCAGCCAAATATGTTCAGCCGAGTACGAAAGGCAGCGCATTAGAGCAAAGCTCTTTCGCGTGGAGAACCGTTAACACACCTTTAGCCCGCATCATGCTGCTTTCAACATATCAGCAAATTCAACGATCTCGTTCACGACCAATGCCTTTACCGGTATTGAAAATCTGCTGTAACTGAAACAGAACGCGACGTCTGAAACTGGTTGACATGAAGTTGCCGATGCCTGCCGCCTTCATTAGTTAAAGAATTTTATCAAACGTACCACGTTCGCAGTTAGCGCCTGGAATCCCCTTGAGGTGTTCATGAGGTGCTTTACAGTCATTGTAGACCGTACCACAGGTGCGTCGCCAAGTCGTTCATTAGCCCAGAGGACGTTTGTTTATTGTGTTCAGCGTTGCTGTTCAATCGATCAATTACGGGAGCATCATGTTATCAATGTTAACAGCGTATTCGCATTTGAAGCACAGATACCGGATGATATATTCAGAAAGAATTGGCAGAATTAATACTCCACAGATTACCACGACACCGTTGGGTATACTTCGGGCAAATCATACCGAGAAGATATTCGCACCGAGCGACAGCTGGTCGGCCGTTATCAAAACAAGTTAAAGTTGAAGTATTTCGGGGAAATGGGTTACTGACAATAAAGCCGACGAAATGAAGCGTCACCTAGCAAGCAGCGAAAGTCACGCCAAATCAGTAGTTCAAAGTTCACCTATCGCGCACCACCGTTTGCCACGATGCCGTTCGAGGGGATGCCTGAATTTTGCGAAATAATCGCGGACCTACCAGAAATCAAAATTCGTTGCGCTCTTGCTGTGGAGATATGAATCGAAGGGTAAATTACGTGAAGAATACGGTTCAAATGTACTTTTCAAATGAAGAAGATGATGAAAGCAGCGACGATTTATTCCTGATGAAAGAGCCTGCGACGCACAGACGCATGGTTCAGCGTCACTGGGCGAGGCTGGTTGTCTTCCAGGTACGAAATATCGACAGTTCATGCGAAGAATAAAGCCAGTGAGACGGAATATGATCCAGACAACAGAAGTGATGATAGCAGAGCGATGTTTGCCAGTTCAGTCATCAGTTGAGCTTCAGCCCTCACCAGAAAGGCCTTTGAAAGCCGATAATGGTCATCATCAGCTTCCTGCCGGTAGACACCTTCAGGCAGTTCATAGTTACGGAGAGAAAACGTTTCATTGTATCTTTCATCATTATCAGAAAGCTACTGACAGATTTCGTTAGCTGAATCTCAAGTCAGTGTTTGACGATGTTTGCATATCCACCGATAATGGACATAATCTTCGAGCGTTAATCGTTCGATAGAGCTGTACCGACCACTGGAGTTGAAACAACTATCAAATCCGCTTCATCCGTGAAGACGAAACATTTTCAGGCAGCCAATTATGAATGAAAAGTTCATAAAGATACGACGTCCGACGGACGACTTCAAAGATGATTCGGTATATCGAGATATGTTACGATTGAAACGAGCTGGTTAATTTTGATTTGCGAACATTGTTCATGATCATTTCATTATTTTCAGCCTAACGACAGTCGAAGCCGCACGTTCATCAGTGGTTTATCGCATTGAGAAATACGAAATCATCCATCAGCCAATCATTTACCATTTCGCAACCTGATCGACCAGTCATTCCACAGACAGACAAGACGTTTTTCATCGACTCGATCAACATTGAAAGATATCAATAATATTACCTAAAGTCCGTTCTGTTCGACGACCACGAATTCTTCTCCATCATGCCGTAAGAGCGATTCGCATCTATCCATGGAAAGTAGGGAGTTATTGAACATGAGGAATGCCATAGCTGTTCGACAAACAGTTGATGACCATCACGCCCAACGAACAGACCATCTGGTTTGACGTTGCGTTACCCGTCAGACATTGTTTCATCAGAACGAAAGAGAAGTCAGAAATCTTTCAATGGCTGGAGAACTCAAGTCGTCCCCAAACCACGATGAAATATCATTCACTAACAGAACAACACTCAATTCATTGAGATCGAAATGAAATCATCGCCTGCTCAACGTCGCGAGGCGTACACGAATACGCCATCACCGTTGATATCGTACACGACCGAGCGCCAATTTCGCCGTAGATCATTAGATCCATCGTTTCGGTCAGTATCACGTTATCGACGAGGTTCTATCACAGCCGGGGATTTAAACATCACTAGTTTATTCACGCATCATCGCATATATTTTGGTGTCATAGGCCGCAAAGAAGTCTACAACATGCCTGATTTAACCTGATCGTATATCATTTGCGGAAGGATGCTGTCGAGTTAACTGTCGATCTTCGGCAGAGCGGAGCGGTCTCTCAAACAGTTGGCCAAATGATATCATTGAAGAATGAACGGAATTCGTTCCAGATCTGAATTGCGATATTTCATAATCGAATTTTCGTAGCACTTCATCGAACGACCAGCTAGGCCGCCAAATCACCGATCGGAGCCTTTCAACGAACGATTCAGTTCAACCAGTCCGGTTTCAGCAGACGGTCAGAATTGAACAAATATTCAGCCTTCGGTATCAAAGAAGATTAGACGTTCTAGGCCCATCATCAATAACGCCTGTTCGCGACAGAATTCTCCTGGTTTCCTCGAATTCATCCTCAAACCGCATTTCGACGTTCACATGATGTATCATGTCCGCCTTCGACACGCATTGCCGTTATCAATGGAGAAGCTCAATCAATTCTCAGCCTTCAGACGGTATTCGCATCTGAATAAACGACCAATGACTACGTGAATGAATCGACAGCATACGGGTTCGCGATTGATGATTTTCAACATCTGGTTCATCAAAGTTACTTTCACTGAAGTTGAAGATATCAACATATCATAGCCATTCATTTCAAGATGGTTATACAAGTAGTTGTCGTTGTTGCAGAATAGATACACAGTTGTTTCAGATTTAGGTCAGGTAGCAGCCAGGTGTTCGTGGCAGCCGAGATCACGCATACGCTGATGCAATGATAAATGGGTCAATGATCGTGGTTAAAACTTCGAAAGCAGCCAACAAATCATATCGAAATAACGTCTTCAATTGTTTTCATAAATACCAGCTGCAGAGTTCAATATCAGCCATTCAGTCAAAGTTAATAAAGATATTGGTCCTCATCTTCTGTACCATCGTCAAAATTTCGGTATTTTGGCGACCAAAGGCAAATATACAGTTCTAATTCGCCTGCGACGACAACATCATTCTACCGCCTCAACTTTGTAACGGATACGAACTTGTTTCCGAAGTCATATTCATAGCAGCCGTCAGTAATTATGCCATTAAACGTGCACCATGACATAACCGTGCCGGAGGTTACATAAAAATGAAGCCGTCTCCGTCATCATAAACATTACCGGTCGTTTTCTCAAGATTTCCGACCATTAATATACCAAAACAGTTAGTGAAATTAACACCGTTTTCATTTCGACGATTCGTATCAAAACATTGGCGTCAAGATGTCTGCTAAAACCAGGTACAAAATAGTCCTTATAGGTCGACAGCGTAATAACATGAAATACTGGTTCGATGCGTTAAATACGCCCGTCACCGAACAGTAAGTGATATATTTAATTTTAAATTTCAAATCGCCGTCAAATAACGTTTGAAGATGATAATTTCATTTTGGTTTAAGTTTTTCATTTTCAAATGGTTAATTGTCCGAAGCCGATAGTTCATCTTTCAATAGTCGCATAGTAATCATCAACATTCCGCAATTGAAACTCCAACTTCACAATTCGCTTTAAAATGTTTGAAATAATACCGTATCGTAGCTATCGTCACTGTTGTAATAATGGTAATGTTCACGAGGGCCAGATACGAAGTCAGTTGAACAGTTGATATTTTCAGGTTCGGTTAATACGCAATAGACGACGCCGTGGACTATGAAGATCGTCATTGCGATAAATAGCGGGATTGTTAGAACATATGCCGTTCGATACCCGCCAGTTCGTCGTCCGGCAGTTGTAGCGTCAGTTGATCATTATCATAAACAAGAACAGTTGGCGCAAAGCTCATCGTTATTGCGTTTGCTCGCGAAAGAAAGCGTCGTTTGTTGTTTTCATCTCGCAAAGTTTGCGGCGGGAAGTCGCATATGACGAAGAAGCGACCAGCGAAAGGTTTAATCGTCATGCTTCGTATGACAGAGCAGCGGTTATCAGTGGCACCTTCTGACAGGAACAAGTAGAATAAGATCTTCGATGACCGCCGCACCTTAGTAATGAAGACAATATAAATATCACCCTCATCGTTCAACATCGATCAGTCTAAACATGGATTGTGCTCGTCACTGGTGATTTTACTTCGTCGAACATGTTCGTGGTTTATCACGACGTAAACTTTATTGCGACACCGCCATTCAATGCCTGACTCTGAGAGTGTGGGTTCGAATCACACATGAAAATCAACATTTAAAAGTACTACTGTCAGTATTTAACTGAGAAAGTATAATCCCAAATATATCCCAAACATATATTACTTGTTCTTTAAGTAGTGAATAACCTTTCATAAGCTAGTGAGATTAATCTTATGTTTTTTCAAATGTGAAAACTAATTATTAAGGACTGATTAAGGATACTGAGTAATGGCTCACGAAATACACCCACACTAATAGTATATCTGATTAATGTTTATGATATAAGAACTTACTCATGACAACGACGGTTCCTCTAAATGGTTGTCCATCTGCACCATCTGTACATGTCTACAAACCACCATCCAAACCTGTAGTGTTTGCTATCTCTAACATTATTTCTTGTGGTAGTGGCTACAGGATTACTGTATCCTGAATCTGGCAGACAATTTGTAGCACCTGCACATGAAGATACCAAAAGAGCATCAGGCCTGATCCACTGAACACCAGTTTTCAGTGTTCCAGCTATGCTACAGGATATTCTCTGTGCACTGTAGAGTTCCGCATGTTGTGGAAAAGAGGCATCTATGGTTGTGATAGCCTGCCCTGTAAAATATGGAAATAAAGATTAGATTGTGTACAAGATACTAAAATTAAGGGAGTCATCCTGTCATTAATGTTTTCTTATACAGTATTTAAATCTTGAAGCCAATTAAACATTGGGATTCTGACACAATATCTTACTTTCCAAGCTTAATTCCAAAGACTGCGAAGCATATCTATCTATCTATCTATCAATCTATCTTATTCAGTAACAAAAGTTTAGCAACACCCAATGAAACAGCCCACTAAACAGTAAGAAATGATGGTAAGATTCGCTGGTTCGTTTTAATCGCTATTTTGACCATGTGCGATTATAAAACTGACACAAACAGTTGTGACGTCATTACAAATTGGCAACCCTGTGCACTACAATGTGAGAGGGGTGGTTCTGTGAAAATCACACACACAAACAACGTTTTCCCATGTTTATGATGAGCTGTCGAACCTTATGAAGGGTGATGTTTCTCAATTCCAGTTGAAGGGCAGTGCCAAGGTCGTTTACAGTCATGATGTTAAGGTGGTTCTTCCGCAAGCATTTCCCGAGAATGTCCCAGGCATGTTCGATTGGGGTAAAGGTCTGGTGACCAGGCTGGCCATGATAAGATGTCAATGTTGTTGTGCTGCAGCAGATTGTGAGTCAGGCGAGCTGTATGTGGACGTGCATTGTACCTGTTGGAAAACGTGTCTCTGACGTTGCCTAAGGAAGGGTGTGACCACTGGCGTTATCACCAGATCGCAATACCGCTGACCTGTAAGGGTGCCGTTTATCGCAATAAGATTACTTTTACCGTCCCAATGGATCCCTCCCCAAACCATGACACTTCCACCCCCGTAACGGTCATGCTCCATGACGTTGCCAGGTTGAAAACGCTCTCTTCGACGTCGCCAAACACGACTTCTACACCTATAAACTGCAGATAGAAATGCTATTCGTCACAAACATTTAACTTCCTTCCACTGAGCAAAACGCCATCTTTGATGGGCACGCGTCCATGTTAACTGTTCTTGAACATGACGTGGTGTTAACGGTATAGCCTTGAGGGGACGACGGGCACGAAGCCCAGCAGAACGGAGACGATATCGGACGAGCTGTGGATGCACTTGTGTTCCTGTAGTCCGCTGAAGACTCTAAGCAGGATCTGGTGCACTGGCAAATCTGTTTCGACGTGATGACGTCACACAATGACGATCTTCACGTGGCGTCGTTTTCCGAGGTCTGCCACAGCGTCGGCGGTCTTTGTGCATGACGTGACTGGAGACGTGAAATGGTACTGTGGTGGACCTGAAAATGTCTGGCAACCTGTCGTAAGCATATCCCGGCTCTCAACATTCCAATGGCCTCGTGTCTGGCATTTTCGGGCATTTCCCTTTGACGCCCCATTGTGTTACAACTTTGTGATGGGGTTGGGTTTTCTTTGTCTGACAGTAAGCAGTTCTGACGTGTGCAATTGTTTTCAAAACGATTTTTAAAACTGAATTACATTGGGACAATAACATTTCTGGAGTTTCCAATTGCCAAGATTTGGATGTTGTTAAACTTGTGTTACTTAATATACATTTGGTAAGAGAAGTGAACTATATCAACTGAGACAGACAACTACATTTGAAAATGAAAAACTACGTAAATGAAAAAATGTATACGATATCTCAAACATTATTTGACAGCTGATTTGAGAACAAATTCATGCAGTCTCATATGCACTTACTGATAAGTAAAGTAGATGTGACCCAAGGCATCATATTTAACACACGTCAAGTTAGTCTTCATATTACACTATCAGGCCATAAGAGTTCATTGTGTACCTGGACTTACATAGTTATCTTATTCAAGATTTCCTTCAATTTTCTTCTCAATGTTTTGGCTACAGATCGTCAAAATGAAACTCAGTGTGGTCCTACCACTGTAATACTTTCTTTTTAAATTATAATATGAAGTCAAATCACCCATAGCTCAAGGAGAAAACATTGAGCAATATTTATGATGAAAGGGACAACTCTCATTTTGAATTGTTGTAAGCAACACTGCTCCCAGTTTAACGGTTTGCTCTTCCTTAGTTACACGTTTGAAATGTACATAATTCACTGACAGCACCTTTTCGCAAGTCATGGCTGGAAATTTCAGTTCATTATCCGTTACAAAGTTGAGAGAGGAATTTAGAATGAAATGTTGTCATCTGGGCTAAGCAGCTTGGAATTAGAACAACATATTTTGCCTTTTACAGACTTGAAGGATACGCCCGAAATGCCAGGTTTGGTGACATTGAACAAATTGAGGATTAGTATCTTATTGTGCTTTGACTGAATGTAAAACATTGATGGATTTGTCAAATATACCATTTACGTTATGGTACATTGAAATTTGAATTATTTATAAAAAAATAATAATTGGAAGATGTGATGCTCTGTGGTTTCTCAGGTCATATTTGCAGAGTGATTGGTAATATCTTTGTATTCAATAACCCATTTTCATTACCATGAAAGACGTACTTTTCACATTATGATTTGTTGTACTCCTTTAAGTTTTGTAACCACGATCATTGTTGGTTACAGTATTGCATCAATTTTGTTGTTATGCGGGTTGATCAGCTTGCCACAGGGGCACACAAACCTTTCTACATTTCAATCTAAGTAACAAATTGTATCCTGTTTATATATTCTGCCCCAACTCGTTGCTTTGATAACTACTAGTATATATATCTTAAATGAGATAACATGATTTCTTGATGTTGTTAATCCACCCTAGCTGGTGAAGTAGCTTGATGGTGAATTGTAGATGTTTGTAGGAGGATCTGTCAATCTGTCAATCTCTTTGGGCTTGTATACAATCGTCGATTCAAACACGATTCCTCGACGATGTATGATAACTAAGTGATGGGTTTCATAGTGCAGGTATATAGCCATCGGGAAGTAGAAATGTCAAACGGGGTGGGGGTGGGGGTGGGGGTGTGGAGGCTCTCCATTGGTAGTGAATGCCTTGAAATGCGTGATGGTCCGGAAGAATTGGGACATGAAGATACGCATCATGTAGATCGAGACTGATCAAGAAGTCTCCTGGTTTGAGGATCATTCGAAGTAGAGCTACAGAGATCATTCTGAAGTGTGTCTGAGGCTGGAGGTATGTGGTATTGATGTTAAATTTCGGAGCGTGTCCAAATCTTCTTTTGATACCAGGAATTTTGGAGAATAAAAGACGAGGGTGTCGGGCGAAGGGACGAGAGATTCTATTGCAGAGCCGACATCTGCGCTGAAGGGTAGGTTCGTTGAACTAGATCGTTCGTTAAAGGAAGAGCTCCGATCATCGGTAGTTTGTAGCCTAAGCTGAGTGTTCGATGAAGGGTCTCCCAAGAAAGTCCAATTGCAAGCCTATATCGCAATTCTTCAGCCGACCGGGGAATCTAAGATCGGGACGGCTGGGGTTGGAAGATCCCATTCGTGCTAACGTCTCTGACAGTAACTGTTTGCCAGAACCAGCTCCATGAGCTGAGTCCGAGTACTACGCACCTCTGCCGTAGGATGTGGATTTGTATTGTCTTCTTCTTCTGGGCAAAGAACTCCTTCCACCAAATGATTGCCGCAGATCAAGGTTCATCAAAACATATTGCGCCGGGCATCTGTTTTGAAGAGACTCTTGAACTTGCAGCTTCTGAAGCTACAGTCACCTGCGACTGAGTTTCCCAAAACATCTCTGATGATCCCGTTGAATAGGTTCAGACTCGTTCACGGCTGGCAAAACAAGTCTACTCTGTAGTGTTCATCCCAGGCTGTGTGGTGCAACGGACCACATCGTCTGATAGCCATGATGCAACCAAGGAAATTGTGGTCTAATCTGGTCTAATACAGCTTGAAATTGTTCATGCACTCGGGTCATTGGTACTCTGATATATGCTTGGTCCTGTGTGGAAACGTGGGTGACCGACGTAGCTGCAGCCTCTATAGTAGACAAGGTAAGGCTGATGGTTCTACGAAAATTTCTCAATCCTCAATAAGGAATGGAGTGTTGTTCTGTTAAGGGCAGAGTGTAGAGATGTCTTCATCGGTAGTTTGGGGGACGAGCAGGTTCACCAAACCGTGGACGTGTGCCAGAGAATTTCGGAGCAGAGAACCCGTCCTTGACTCTCTTTCAGATTCCTGAAGGCTGTGTCTAGAAATGGCGTCGTCTGAGTTAAACAAGGTGCTACTGTAATCGTAGATAAGTCCTATTCCTTCATTAGAACATTGATGTGAGGTCATCTGAAGACTTGCTCCTGGCCAGGCTCAGGTTATCGGCGATCCAGGCAAGCATATGCGTTCCGTCCACATGTTCAATACTCCCTACTAAAGTGGATAGGTCCTCCGAATATGTACATGATGGAGAAGAGGTACGGTGAACCGACGAAGGTGAGATCAGTGAACTTAGAGTTTGGACTTTAGAAATGGGAATTAATGTGTAATATGTATTTCTTCATTGATCAGGGTGTTCCAGAAGGCAGTATTTTGTCTGTCATATTGTTGTTTAGCATTAAGGGTAACAGTTGATCAAAGGTTTTGTAATGATTAAATGGTTGGATCACTTTTTGTGGATGATTTTCATATTTCTCTTCGCGGTAAAAATATACATACTATTGAACGGCAACTGCAGCTGTGTTTAAACAAAATAAATAAATGGTGTCTTGAAAACGGCTTTAAATGTTCTAAATCCAAAATTAATTGTATACATTTCTGTCGTAACTACAAACCGCATTAACACCCTGAAATATCTTTAAATTCACATCCATCAAGGTTGTCAAGGAGGCCAAGTGCTTTGATCTTATGTTCGACTCCCATTGAACTTTTCTTCCGCAAATTTAATACCTAAAAAATAACTGTCTCTGGATAAGGCTCTGGATTTGTGAAAAGTTGTTTCCAACTCAAAGTGGGGAGAGGATCAAGCTACCTTCCTACACCTATATAGATCACTGGTCTGCTCGAAGCTTGATTATGGCTCCATTGCATATGGTGGAACCTGCAAAACACTCGTCAAACTA